ATTAGGGAATGTCCAGTTCAAGTTTGGGAATTAGGGAATATACAGTTCGACCCCGGGGATTAGGGAATGTCCAGTTCAACCCCTGGGATTAGGGAATATCCAGTTCAAGGCTTGGGATTAGGGAATATCCAGTTCAACCCCTGGGATTAGGGAATGTCCAGTTCAAGTCTTGGAATTAGGGAATGTCCAGTTCAACTGCTGGGATTAGGGAATGTCCAGTTCAACCCCTGGGATTAGGGAATGTCCAGTTCAATCCCTGGGATTAGGGAATGTCCAGTTCAATCCCTGGGATTAGGGAATATCCAGTTCAACCCCTGGGATTAGGGAATGTCCAGTTCAACCCATGGAATTAGGGAATGTCCAGTTCAACCCCTGGGATTAGGGAATGTCCAGTTCAAGTTTTGGAATTAGGGAATATTCAGTTGAATCCCTGGGATTAGTGAATGTCCAGTTGAATCCCTGGGATTAGGGAATGTCCAGTTCAAGTTTTGGAATTAGGGAATATCCAGTTCAACCCCTGGGATTAGGGAATGTCCAGTTCAATCCCTGGGATTAGGGAATGTCCAGCTCAACCCCTGGGATTAGGGAATGTCCAGTTCAACCCCTGGAATTCTGGAATCTCCAGAGCTGAAAGGATCCACAAGGATCATCCACTGAGACCCCTGGAATTTGGGAATTTCCTGAGCTGGAAGGATCATCCAGTTCAACCCCTGGGATTAGGGAATGTCCAGTTCAAGTTTTGGAATTAGGGAATGTCCAGTTGAAGCCTTGGAATGAGGGAATATCCAGTTCAACCCCTGGGATTAGGGAATATCCAGTTCAACCATTGGGATTAGGGAATGTCCAGTTCAACCCCTGGGATTCTGGAATCTCCAGAGCTGGAAGGACCCACAAGGATCCCGGAGTTCCACCCCTGGCCCTGCCCAGACATCCCAACATTCCCAGCATTCCCAACATTCCTAAACACTCCCTGAGCTCTGGCGGCCTTGGATCCATGGCCATTCCCTTTGGATCTGATCCAACACCTCAGGATGAGGAATATTGGCTATTCCAGTTCCTTGGATCCATGACCATTCCCTTTGGATCTGATCCAACGCCTCTGGATGAGGAATATTCCCTATTCCCTGATATCCAAGCTTGACCAGCTCCTTGGATCCATCATCATTCCCTTTGGAGCTGTTCCACCCCCTCTGGATGAGGAATATTCCCTATTCCCTGATATCCAAGCCTGTCCAGCTCCTTGGATGCATCACCATTCCCTTTGGAGCTGCTCCAACACCTCTGGATGAGGAATATTGGCCATTCCAGCTCCTTGGATCCATGGCCATTCCCTTTGGAGCTCTTCCAACACCTCTGGATGAGGAATATTCCCTATTCCCTGATATCCAAGCTTGTCCAGCTCCTTGGATCCATCACCATTCCCTTTGGAGCTGTTCCACCCTCTGGATGAGGACCACCAGCTATTCCCTGCTCTCCAGGCCATTCCCATTCCCATTCCCATTCCCATTCCCAATATCCCACCTGGAACATCTCGGAGATGCCCTCTCCGGTCTGTGCCGAGGTCTCGAAGTAGAGGAACCCGCGGCTCTCGGCCCAGAGCCGGCCCTCGCTCTCGTCCACGCTCCGCAGCTTCCCCGAGTCCACCTGGGGCCCGGGAAAAACCCCTGGGAAACGCGGCTCCGGGCAAGGAATCCTCTTGTTTTCCCTCACAAACATTTCCAAATCCTTCTTGTTCCTCACAAACATTCCCAAATCCCTCTTACTTCTCACAAACATTCCCCAAATCCCTGTTGCTCACAAACATTCCCAAATCCCTGTTTTCCCTCACAAACATTCCCAAATCCTTGTTGTTCCTCACAAACATTCCCAAATCCCTCTTGTTCCTCACAAACATTCCCAAATCCTTCTTGTTCTTCACAAACATTCCCAAAATTCATCTTGTTCCTCACAAACATTCCCAAATCCCTGTTTTCCCTCACAAACATTCCAAAATCCCTCTTGTTCCTCACAAACATTCCCAAGTCCCTCTTGTTCCTCACAAACATTCCCAAATCCTTGTTTTTCCTCACAAACATTCCCAAATCCCTGTTGCTCACAAACATTCCCAAATCCCTGTTTTCCCTCACAAACATTCCCAAATCCGTATTTTCCCTCACACACTTTTCTTAGAATTAATTCCCTACAAACCATATTCCCAAAATCCCTCTTGTCCCTCACAAACATTCCCAAATCCCTCTTGTTCCACACAAACATTCCCAAATCCCTGT